GGAGAAGCACAACATGTCAAAAAAATATTGCCATCAAGATAATGTCCTTTGCATATGTACAGTGATCCCTCGCTACTTCGCGATTCACTTATTGCGGATTCAGTGCATCGCGGATTTTTTAAAAATATTTAAACCCCCCCCTCCAAAAAGTAGCGAAAATGCCGCAAAAGGTCCGCGAGAGGCAGCGAAAGTCAGCAAAACAACAGCGAGTCACATAGAGCAACATATAGAGTACTATATGGATTTTTCATGTTTATGTTTACTGTATTTTGTTATTTATACACGAAACCAACCTAACTTATACATCTTATACATGTATATTTATACCGGTATATATTAGTATATAGCATTAAGTAATGTTAATTGCTACAAACATTTACTTCTACATGCAAGTATACCATTAAATTTGGCCTTATAAATATTATATATACTCGTACACATGTACATATACCTGTACATCCATGGTGGGGGGGGGGTTACCTACTTCGCTGACTTTCCTCTTTCGCGGGGGGTTCTGGTCCCCATTAAGCGAGATAAGCGAGGGATCACTGTATATCGCAAAGGCGTGCAATAAGCTGGAATTGTATGTTTTTAGATGCAAGCTTTAATATGCATCGGCATCCAATAAGAGAACAGTGTCTAGGAGCATTACTAAACACAAAATAGCAATACTATGCAGCCCTATTTTAATTGGTCATAAATTTTACCCCAAATTGATTACATTTTCAGGCAATTGCCTATCCAGAAGAAGCTGATGTCCAAATATCAACTAAAGTCATCGTTTCATTTCGCATTTTTGGACAGAAAATAAAATAAAAGGCAACAACTAAGGGTTCATTACTGCCGTTAAGGTAATTAAACTGCATTGGTAATAATTGATGCAATTGTGCCTTTTTTTTTTTTTTTTTTTTTTAATGTGAGAGACATCTGACTGTAATTTGGCAATAGCGCGACGCTGGCCCTGCGACAAACATTCAACCCGCTATGTGGGTTCATTATCTAACTCTAAGTGGGTTCTGAATTGGTTTGGAAGGACAAACGGTTAGCTGGGCTTGCAGTACCAACATGGGTCATGCCTAGTGTGAAAACGGCATTAGTGAAATTGGACCCTTGAGGTTTTTTAATGCTCTTTTCCATCTGTTTGCCTGTGTGCATGTTAAGTGCTGTATCTACGCAACTGAGCACAAGATACGGCACAAGGAGTCACAATGAATATCACAGCCCCTGAAGAAGGCACATTGTCCCGAGAGGGTGTTCATTTAATATGCGTGCCTATTTATGTGCATACAGCGTATACTGCCGTGCTTACGCATTAGGGTTATTGTGTGAAGCCTGGGTCTCTAATCCCCTAATCTGCTGAACCTGGAAATCACTGCGGTTATCTGTCAGCCAGGTCAGAAAGGGGCTCAACACTATAACACATGCACAAGCGTACACACACAGCCAAACGCATTAACACTCCCACAAACACCCGCACAGTGAGAGTAATTTAGTCAACAGGGTCAGCCTCATTCAGTCGAATCAAGATTGATGCTCCTCTGTCCAAACCTCACAGGTGTTGGAGTAAACTGTAGACATACATAACCCAAATAGAGGTATTGAGAGCAGGCAGAGAGAGGTAGAGACTCACTCCACTTATTTTCACCTCTAAATTAAAAACAGCATGTTCCAATGCAGTCAGGAATAGTGTCTGTATAAAAGTTCATCTTTCAAACCCATTTCTGAAAGACTGAATTGGAGATTTCATTTGGGTCTCAAGACAAATTCACATACATATCTTTATCGTTTTATTTGATAGAAAATGCCTCCATAGGCTCAATGTATTTATTTAGTGTGATTATTTAGTCCCCCTTAAATGCAGGCCTTGCCATTATCGCTAGTTTACCCGTTCAGGTCAGCTTTCAGGAACAATGTTTTAATTTACATTTCCTACCTTATTATCATTTGGGCCATGATGAGTTGTTATTTTTAAGAAGTGGGTCTCCAAAAGGAGGATTAGGAAATACTGATCAACATGGTGATGGCAGGCAGCTAAGCTTCTGGCGCAGAAGGTCCAGCCAGGACGCAGACTCTGAGAACCTCTAATGCTCTGACGCTTGTGTTGGTTCCAAAGCTCTAAGGTCTGTCTCTTTCTATATAAATACACACAAGTCTTTGTGCGTGTCTGTGTGTGTGTGTGTGTGTGTGTGTGTGTGTGTGGGTGGGTTGATGGGTATGTGCCAAATAGGACACCCTGAGGGTTTGTCTGGAGCGTGTGGTTGACATGGCCTGCTGCTGTCCAGTGTGCTCCTATTAGTGCTCGTACACATGCAAACACATACTATACACGCACTCTGGCAAACACACAACACTGCTTGGCACAAAGGTGACAGATGCTTTTACAGTTTAAGTGAGTACTGTGTATTTGGACATTTAAAAAAAAAAAAAAAATATATATATATATATATATATATATGTATTTACCATATACGTACACAATTCTAAGTGCATAGTGATTACACTGCAATCTGAAGGCTAGGATTTCCTTTTGAATTCTACGACCGTGTCAAAAGCTCAAGCTGGAGGGACAGGAAGCCATACTACAGACACCCATAGATCACACAGACTCATGACTGCTTCACAGACTCATGACTGCTTGGCGAGAGCGAAAGGTGCAGGAGGCGAAGGTACCGAGAGAATCTGTGTGGGTTTCAGGCATGTGTGATCTCAGCAGGACGGCTCATCATCTCTCTGTGTTGTCATGTCATAAGTTAATGGTAAGTGCTGGACTAAGGTAGTGGACTGGACGGGTAGTGGGTGGGATTTTTTTTTTCCCTTCACCACGTCCCACCAGAAAGCGGTGGTACTGTATTGGGATGCAAGCTTAACTTGCAAAAACATGTTGCACAAGCATGCCAAAGGAATCTTCATTCCCTACCGAAATGTACTTCAATGTACTGGAGACTGCAGCTGGCCTTAGCTTTCGGCCTTAATTGACAATGTAGTTCTTGAATGTCCATGTTGTGCCTATAACCATTTTATTTATTTTTTTTATCGTCTATATCTACTTTCAAGTGATCACTGCATTTGCTAGCGAATCACCTGAAACAACCGCATACACCCAAATTGCAGGTGTAGGGGCTGGGGTTAGGGTCAACCACCAAAATTGGTCGACACAAAAATGTATGCCTCAAAAGCATTAATTAATAATTGTATACACATATTTGCAATGCCTGAAACCATTGTTTCATTTTTCAGCATAAACATTGGCACGGATGGACGGCTGCGCATCAGTCTTCTGTCACTTCAATGGATTATGTCCAGGTTTTGTTTTTTTCTCCCCATAAATTTAAAGTTTTATGCCATTAGTGCTAAACAGATCTGCCGCCACTTGGAAAGGGGGAAGACGGGTAGGCAAATGCTTGACGAGCTGGTGGCTGTCCTACTACAAAGGTAGGATTTATTGTTCGTTTTTACTCATTCAGTAATAAAATACATCCAACCACTGCTATTTAGAATGCACTATATTGTATTCATTTCACCTATGACGTGGGTTAATATCGTCCTAAAATTTTGAAAATGACGCAACTTGATGCTTCTCTGGTGAACTCATCTCAGCGTTGCTTGCTCCAAAGCTGCATGGCTAAAGCAGTGATCGCGCTTGAATGCAACGTGACATGATTATTGTGGGAAATATCTAAGATAATGAAATACGGACAAGGAAAGTGTGACAGTCACTGTTGGATAATATTTTAAGAAGAAACCATTAATGGCCGCGAGAGGCACTTGAGATTGTGAGTCCCTGGCTTATATGGGTAAGCACAATTAAAATGTTCTTTACTTTGAAGCAGGGATGGCTCCAGGATTTTTGTTCTCTACCGGGGCTTAGGGAGGACTTAATGGATACGTAGGGGGGGCTGAGAACATAATTTATAAATATATTTTAGAATATCAAATGAAATGCTGGTGGGGCTTAACTGGGGGTACACAAATTTCTGACGGGGCTATAGCCCTCCTTGGGCTGATGTAGCGCCATTCTTGCTTTGAAAGTTACTTTATTGTTCAAACATCAAGTTTGGCAAAGTCAAGTGTGATGTATAAAGGCATCCTTATCACTTTCATACACTTTCCAGAGGAAAAAAAAGGTAGCCTGGGTGGGCGTGTCGCCATTTTCCAGAGTAATTGAAATGATCATCAATAGAATAATGGATTCCCAAAATCTCTATTTGCGACAAAACATGTAATTGTGTTAAAATGTCACAATCATAAAACAAACTGTTGATGAATACTTTGCATTTTGACAGTAATTATATTAAAACTATGCAAAAATACTATGAAAGCTTAGAGTCCATGTACTTAATATGAGGGCACTGGAAGCACTGTTTCAGAATCAAAAAAAGAGAGATATAATTAGGGGTGGGAATGGGAATACAAATGTGACCATTAAGACACACAATTGTGACTCTCATGCGGGGATGGGTGAAGGGTCCCGGTAATGACAGGTCAAGCATCAAATTAAAGCCCACTGGCCACTCAGTCTATGTCATGATGACACAAGAGCATCTTTATTAAGTGCAGAAACACTTCGACAGACGAGTTTAGTGTGTTTGTGTACCTTGGACACTATGGCACCTGTTTAATGAATATACACCTGATTTTATTTCATTTTCATTGAACAGTTCAGTAAGGCGCGCGTGATGGCACTCGTGCACGTTTGCAGCCTCCCGAATACCTGCCTTAGAAAAATAGCTTCACTCGACACTGGCGGCACATACAACCTTGTCGTGCATACTAGCAAAAGGAGCACGGTTGAGCCATTGTCAGCCAAGTGCAGTCCCTCCCCACACATGACCGTGAACATTATTCCATGAAAGGCACCTCAATGTCATGACACTGCTCTGCTCTGCCAGCACTCTGACAGAAGATTGCATCGACCCATCGCATGAGCTACGAGCATCCACAGAAGCTGAACACAAACAGGCATTGTAAGCATCTCTGTTGCGTTTTAAAACATCACGTACCTGTTTTCCAGAAGCGTTCAGCGCATAATCCTCCGTCTTCGATGTGCAACTTTTTTTTTCTTGCCGCCCAACAAAAGGGTTTAGCACGTGTATTTACTTTTCTTTGCCTTCCTGGTCTTAATAAGGCTCTACAGTATGCGGACAAGCTGCGGGGAAAAAAAGGAAGCAAAAAAATCTCCCGCAAAACATTTTAGCATACGCGGGACTCAAACGGAGCAATACATCCGGTGCCAAAGCAGGTTGCAGGAAAGAAAAAAAACACAGGGAGAGCTCTAACTTTATAAAATTGCGATACAGCTGACACACGGAGCAGTGCGCAAACGTCGAGTCCTCACTGAAGAGAACGAGTCAGACACGCTGTCGGACATACCGCGAGAGGCATCAACAAACGGCAATGACCGAGGCACGGGAGCGCGCGTTCACGGTGGAGCCAGCGGTCATTATTATTATCTGGGCATGCAGGCTTTAATCCACCGTGCACTGTCGGTTGCAGCAGCATCCTTGCAAGCAATGGGCAGGTGCAACTGAAGCAATTCAACTCGGACTTTTGCATGCAAATCACGATTTCGTTGTCCTTCAACTCACATCTGGGATGTCCACTTATATTAAAAAAATGTCTTATAAATGTTAAGGTAGTCGTCTAATCGAAATATCATAAGACAACCTTGAAATAGATTATGGTAAATCAATCTGAGTTTTCATAATCATTATCAATCCAGCTTCCATTCAAATCATGCATGTATTGAATGAAGACAAGTTTACGCGAGGCGTAAACTGTTAAAAAATAAGTCCTTCCGAATTTTGCTTTAAGTTATCACAGGTAGGTAAATTCCCGTCCCATTGTTTTGCACGCCTTTGACTTTACAAAATCTAGATTGACATCGATGTCTTTCCATAGACATCAATGGAGACCAAGTGCGAAGAGAAGTCTGTCGTGCCCCACCTTGGTCATTCATATTTCTGGCATCGCAAAGGAAGCACCTAGGTCAAACATTTCCGAGCCCCAGATGGGAAATGTCACTTTCAGACAACAAAGAAAAATAAAACAAATTAACTCATCATTAACGATATACTATTTAGTCTGCACGACACTTGTGTTTCAAAATGTTCTTATTTCAGTGTTAATATTTTAATGATTTTTTATTTTGTCTTCGAATATGAACATGAATTACCGGAAGTTGGGCTCTTATTTCTTTGTCGTTTCTGATCTACTATAGGTGCCCGTTTTAAATAGTGCCCCCTAGTGTTCAGACTGAAATACCACATTGCTGAAATGTTTTGTGTTCCAGGCTGCATTTAGGTGAAATATGTGGAAAGACCATGAAATTGGTTCTTAAAATGTCAGTACAGTAACGACAATGTATTTCTTTAATAAGTGTTAGATTTGATTGAAATATATGCCATATTCGAGAAAAGTTTGTGTTATGTTTCTTTTAAACATATTTGATGAAACATAAAACATGTCTTCATCACAACTGCAAGATGTAAAGGCATGAGGAAATATTGGCAAGTACTCAAATGGAAGTATTTGTCAGAAAAAAAAATTGTATTGGTGGATGAAGTTTTGGATCATATCACATTTCGCTAATTTCACACCTCGATAATAATTTTTCTGCGCAAAAGCTGATGTGTTATATTTTTTCAGAGCGTGAGCATGCCTGCTCAGTACAGTCTCCACCTTCCATGTCCCAGTGCTCATTGCAGTGGTCTTCATGCATCTCGATTCAAACAGTGCACCCACTACACTGCAGGCTACACTTCACATTAGTGCACTGCCTAATGGGCTTTTGCTATATTAGCAGCAATAGAAAGGTGTAATAACAGGAGCACGCAATCATGCACCATAACAAGGGAAAGCATAGTTAACAGTTACACTATTGCTACTCCCTCTACGAGCAAGCTGTAAATACATATTTCCCAGTGGAGGTATGGTAATAACTTCTGCTTATTTGAAAACATCCCGTAAAGAGAACCTTGTGGCTCTTTTGATAAAGACTTCATTTCAGAGGCATTTTTAATGCATAACTGGGGATTGACATGGAACATGAGCCAACATTGTGCCTTTTATTTTTTTATTTTTTCCAATTCTTTGTTGGTTTTCTGTTTTCTAGCCCAGTGCGTCTTATAAGTTAGGGGTGAAACAATTTTTTTTTTTTTACCAATAAAATATGTATCAATATAAGGCGTAATGATTCCAAACCAAGCAATATAGCACTTTCATGTAAACAATACAATTTGACACGATAAAGGCGATTTTGACAGGGTAACAACAGTATTTTTGAAAATAAATCAATTATAATTAAGGGTAACTCGAAATGAACTCAACAGATTGCCATTTCATTGGATTTCATTTCAAAACCAACTGAGCTTTATTGAATCATCATTGCCATCAGATCAAGCTATTTTCCTGAATGTTCTTGAATAAAAAGTGAAACAGAACAAGCTAGTTCTCTTTTTAAATGCAAACAGACCTTATTATGAGAAATAGATGTTTCGTTATATGCATTAAAACATCAATGTAAACAACCCCTTTTGATAAAGGGCATTTTATATTTGAATAATATTCAACAATCTCTTTTTGGGGAACCAAAAAAAAATACACGCACGTAGAAAACCTGTATATTTACAATTGCATTAACCTGCTGCTGTGATTGTTTTGTTTAAAGAACTGTACCAAACAGTAAACACTTTTGCCAAAGGCTTGAATTTTTTCAAACACATCAGTTGGTCTGAGAGCAGGACACGAAGTAATAATAAGTATTTTTTAGAGCATAAGGAGATTTATGATTGAGTTTTCCATTAAAAAAGGCAGCGACATCTTTTCGCTCCGTGCCGCTGTTTATTCATTCAGGTTTGTTGCTGTTTATGATGCCATTGCAACGGTCAAGGCCTGCGTTCCCGTTAGATTTCACTCGGCATTTACAAAGGCTACACATGGCAACCATCTCCTTTGGTGCAAAATCCAAAGTGCTTCCACAGAAACGAAAGCATTGCTTAAATCTTAATAATCTCCTCCGTCCTCGCCGCCATAATCTATGTTGATCTATTATTGGCTATGCTGTGTGCACGATGTAAGCGTCGACCAGTGATGACATGCAAGAGCGGAAAACAAATATAATATATAGAAAGGAAAAGAGAAGGTGGACGGAGCATGTCAATCTATTTACAGGCGTGAATTTCAACAGGTGGCAAGACATAAATGACCCAACCACCTGTTACAATTGACACGCTATTGTGTGTACCGTTTAATATCTTCTTGCAAAAGTCCTCAGAACCTAAGTAAATAAACTTCATGAAATAAAGAACACCGTATCTGGCAATCCCCTTTTCTCTCTCCATTTATACTTAATTCCATGCATATGGACAGATCAAGAGATTAGCCTTAATATGTCCTTTAACACATACTGAGTAAGCATGGATGTGGAAGCTCGCCAGTCCAGATTAGATCACACAGACGCAGGCTGATGCTTTGTCATTTTGTTCATCGCTTTAAAACCCATCTCGGGGCAAATAGCTGCCAGCTTCTGCCTACAGGGTGCCCTTGGCCTTTCATCGGCCATAATGCAGAAGATCCCATCACAACCCCACATCCTCACTTTTGCCATTTTCGATCAAGCGCCGTTGACAAATCTCCTTTTCTCTTAATTGCCATTAAAACGCCATTAAGACACCAATCCCTGATTAACAAGTGAAGACTTCCGGTGCTTATTTGTTCCCGCTTTCTATCCGTTTCATGTTAGAATTCGAAACTGCTCATTTAAAAAGTGATGGATCAGCACATAATCTGACCCTTGAAAGACAGTTTTGCTTGAGTCACATTTAAATAAGCAAAAAATAAAAATAAAAACTTCCCAAGCAAGTTGTCGGGTATGATATGTGCAGACGAGTGAGCTGACCTTTCTCATTTATGAGCCAATATTAGCACAAGCCATTATGACCTATCAAAGTGTAATGCTTAATAGCTAATGCCCAGGGGTCCTTCAACCTTGAAGCGCTCAAGTTGTGAATTGCATTATCAGTGCTATATGTACAATTACAGGCGCACAGTGTCAGGGGTTCTCTTTAACCTTCTGCAAGGGTTCTCCGCCAGACATCAATCACGAGCAATAATAGCCGCACCTTTAAGGGTTAAATCTCCACCAAGTGAACATCCAAGTTCTCCGTCAGTAGCCTGGCAAATATGTGATTGGGGATCATTGGAAAGATTCAGTCCACTGTTAATTGTATAATCAATTTGATTAACTCGCAAAATGCAAATTACCAAATTAAAGCAACTGGATTTATAGAATTACCACTGATGAAGATGGAGAAATGATATCATTTCTCTTTTACTGGATACAGACTCAATAAGATACACTGTCTGTATATTTTACACACACACACACACAAGCAAAAGCGCAC